ATTAGGTTAAAGAGCTAGCTTGGCAGAAAAATGTCGTGTAGTTGGGGAGACGTGAAGTCTGGGAAGTTCTAGACTAGTGGGCTCCATTGTACTATGGATCATCAACGATGCGCTATGTTGCATCACAGTCGGTTGTAATTTTCCAACAATCCGAAAACAGGGTTCGGGGGTTTAGGGATTTGAAGTTCAGTGTAATGTCCTAAACCTTACATACAGCCCACAGTAAAGCCTAAAGGTACGAGTGTGCAGCACACAGGGGTAAAGAATGCTGGAGTAGAAGCGGAATTCGTATTCAACCCGGACATTCAGCGTTAGAATGAAAGCCGGGCCGACCGCAACCACACAATCCAAGAGACATGCAGGCTAGAGGGGTGGGAATAAACGGCATGCCGTGCTCTTGTTGTCCCATTATGCATTGACAGTACGGGAGACCCCAAGACATTAATGAAAAAACCTAAGGCCCCTAGTCTACCTACCTGCCACAACACATCTGTCAGTGACAGCACCTTACCCTTTACCCACCTCTGGGGCCCCTCAGAACAAAAATCTGAATTTCGACGTCCGCATATTGAGTATCCTATCTACACCGGGCCCCCTTTCTTTCCTGAAGCTCCGAAATAGCCCTCAAGCCCAAAACCGGGATCCCTGCCAACCGGAAGCCTAGATCTCCTTTCAACTCAGGCCCCAAAGCCCTAAAACCCGAAACACCCACGATTCCAGTGTAGAGGCCTGGAGAGTTAGCAGTACTATTCCTGAAGGTCTTACATGTAGCTGCTCTATCTATCTATCTATCTATACATACATACATACATACATACACCCGAAAACCCTATTGTAATCACTACGGCCAGTATATGAAGAATCACAAGCCCTTCCTACAGAACCCTTCTAGAACCCGTTTAGATGACCCGTCTGAAAACCATCGAGGCCCTTCAATAAACAGGACTCTACTCGGCTGCCGTTTCTTGTGGAGGCGATGGGCCTGGGCCTCAGGAAGTTGCACGAAAGAGCGCATGGGAGCTTCGTAGTCCATGTGTTCCTTAGGAGCCAGGTTCCATCTTTGTTACAAGATGTATACACGCAAAGGATTGCAAAAACAACTTTGTTTCCGAAAGCTTTAAGTGTCTTATAGTACCTTTTACCGAACCGGCCCCCTGCTCGAGTCACTCTAGTCGCAAGATCTGAGCTTTGCACCCCAGAGCGGAGCTTTCAACCAGGAAGAGTTCGACTTTACGTTCTGCAACGTGGCGCTGCCAAATGCCATTGAGGTGGGCACCCTGCAAGGCTTATCCTGCCTATGCTTGTGGGATGGGAGACATGTTCGTTGGGGTTGGGCTGTAGGGCTTGGTGCTCTCAGGGTCTTCTGTTGAGGGTTCAGGTGTGGTCGGCTACTCCAGGCCGGGGAGGCGGACAGAGAGAGAGAGGGAGAGAAGCAAGAAACGAAGGAGTCAGAAGGAGCGCACTTCTCAGAAACACCTCCACCGCCCGGCCCTTCTGAAAGCCGCTTTTCTTCGACGGATGTTATCCAAGATGGTTCACAGTCTTGCATTTAGAGCTCGGTTTTCGGTGTACGATTCGGTAGCCGAACCAATGTACACTTGCTCTCTGCCATGTGTTGCCAGTGCTGCCTGGCTGCACTGGTGCTGGCAGTGGCGGCACTGATTTTGAGCCTCAGCATGCAAAGAAGCCGAAAGAGTTGGTAATTCTGCGGTGATACTGTTTCGCAGGCAGGGTTCCAATATGGGCCGTTCGATGAAGTATTATACATCTCATCGTTTTTTCGAGTCTTCACAAGGAGTTGTACTCGTTATATAAGCAACTGAAGATGCTCCATGTTGGTTGGGTCTGAAACAGGCTCGGCATCGAAGCCTGGTTTGGGGTTTGTTGTTGTCTTTGCCACGGCCACTTCCACCGCCATAGCCACCACCATCTTAGCCAGCAGCACCACAACCACCATTTTTATCATCGCCTTGTAAACACCGGCAGCAGCTGCACAGTATGTGAAATCCTTTCGAAGCTTGTCTCCAGTTCAACCCATCAAACCTCGCTCGTGGGCATAGACCTCAGCCATGCGAGAGGGAAACAAATTGTCATCACACCATCATCGACACAAACACCTCGACCGCCCCGGTGGTAGTGTCAACACGTACGCAACATCATCCACAATATCGGCATCCGACCATCTCAGTTTTTGTTAGCCGGAGAGTCAGCAGCATCAGAGCCATGCCCAGTGTCGGGAACATAGTCTTGCTTCTCGATCATGCCCTGGCCATGAAACAGATAATCACCAGCTCCGCGACCACCGTCTTCACCACGACCACCAAACTAGCGGCCAGTTCTCCTCGCCATCGAAGCCCGCATAACCATCAAGGAATGACCTGTTTCCGTTCCTGATGCATCGAAGTCTTCGTATCATCTCGGTTGAAGAGACTGTGCACTGACCAGGGCCTTCCTCTGTTGTCATCGTTACGGTCCTTGTGATTACTCGTCGATGTTGCCGTGAGTGAAGGTATTGCTCATGCAGTTTCGAACGTACAAAAGATGGGGTCCGGTTGCCTTCGCGGCCATTATGGGATCTTGAAGCTTTCGATTCAAGGTGAAATGGTGAGATAGGTCACATTAAGTTAGTGCTAAAGGGTGCATGCCTTGTGAAGTGAAGTAGTGCTAGATTCGAGGATTCGGCCTCCAAATTACAAAGATGAAATGGCCCTTCCGAGGGCGCTTGTCCACTACAAAATGTGGCGGCACCTGTTGGACAACAAGGTCGTCGGCGAGGTTGGGCATTGAGTACTGGCTGCGCCGTCCTCACAGCAGAAAACGGGTGATTTCGATAGTCATGAGAAGTACACCGACATGACAGAGACCGCGCTGATGCAAGAACCTTCATCGTGCCTCTAGTTCAGGCTGTCAGAGCCCTGCGCCCAACATCCGATACTTCTGAAAGCCCTCATCCTTGTACCCCACCCGAACCCAGTTTGGATTTGGGGATTTCCCGGAGTTTTGTTGACGTGCATCCAGGAGTTGGAGAAGTTCTCCAAGAAGTATGGCTACTTGCAGACAAGGCCTGGGGCATAGGGCAGTTTGAGTTTGCTGTGGTGTGCAGTTTGAGGTAGGGGCTCGGGTTCGGGAGTTTAGGTTGTGGCATTCCCACATGGCTTGAATACATGAACAGACAGCAGAGCTCTCCAACTGACTCGAGAGCTATTTATCTTCCACCAGAGCGCTGCAGTTGGCCCGCCAACTCTCAGGAGTCCGGTTCTACATTGTCCGTGTGTCGTTAGGGGCTCAGGGTTTTAGGGTTTAGGGTCTATAGGGGCTTTGAACTTTGGGTTTGGAGTTAACGGAGCCCTTGCCTTCCTGCAGGAAGTGAATTCGGCCATCAAGTGGTCTCAAGGTGTCTACCAAACGGCACCTGAGACCTACGAGTGCCGCCACGGCGCTGCTTGCTTGAGGCTTTTGATCGGTCATTACCTGTTAAACCTTATATGATCAAAAATGCCATACCCCCCCCCCCCCCCCCCAAGACTAAGCCATCTGTTGTGAGTGGCTAGCAGCTAGCATTCCTGAACATCTACAAATGAGCGCTGCACCCTAAAGCGATTACACCCCTTTTCTCAACGGCATTTCATCAACCCCATCAGTCAGGAAGAAATTTTGTTGGGCGTTTCTGCCACGTTGCAAGAGACCGGGTCGATTCACAGGGAACCTGTGGATCTACTTCCCGGTGACGACGAGCCACGTGGTACTTCACCAGGGGGCCTGCTTAGCAACAGGCAGGGGTCTTCAAGCGACCCCAAACCCTCCCACCCCCCAAAAGCCCCCATGAAGCTCCCTAAACCCCTAAACCTTCTAAACCCTAAACCTTCGACCCCGTTTTTGACATTCTAACGGTTTTCCATGGAAAAAGGGCAAGAAATGAGGGGCCCGGCGGAACTCTCGAGGCGCCCAGCCCCCACCAGAGCAGCCCCGAAAGGAAGTACCAGAACGCAAGGTTTTAGGATTTAGGGTTTAGGCTTTTAGGGTTTTAGGGTTTACGGTTTTAGGATTTAGGGTTTAGGGTTTAGGGTTTTAGGGTTTACCACTATCAGCCCGAACAGGAAGTACCATGGGCAACAAACCGCAGGGCAGGCCAAGCCTCCCATCGGCTTTCTTTCGGGCTACACAAGAGCTCCGAAGCATAAATGAAGGAAAAGGTACTGGGCACACTGCCTCGTGTTTTTGCAAGTGACATGCCGCAGGCCCTGTTTGCAATAGCACGGCAGCATGAACAACTCTTATAAACTCTACCCCGTTATTGTTGTCTCTCTAAAGCCGAGTCTTGACAAGCAAGGCCGGTATTACATATCCCCCAACAGCCCTAAGTTGGGCAGGTTCGGTCATATCCGGTCGTTAACATGCACGTTATCCTTGGCTTGTGGATGTTGCACGGTGTTGACCTTAAGGCACTTTCCGTTCTCAGAAAAGGGCTGTACATTCTCTGCCAGCTCAGCACCCTTGACACGATCTACGCAGCCAGGAGCCAAAGGTATTTGGGAATGATCCATTCGTTGGCTTTCTCACACCAAAGCTTCCAGATGATTAGAGCTCTTCGAAAAAGTAGTGAACCGAAACAACACAGCTTCAAATCTGCATGCGACGCACCAAATCCCGAGACCCTAAACCCTCAACCCCTCAGCCCCAAGACCCTCAAGCCCTCGCTGCTTCGTGAATGCACCTGCTGTCGGCAGCATGGGCCGGGTGACTGCCTGAGCTTCGGTAATGGTTTAGGGTTTAGAGCCTCAGGGGTTTAGAGCCTCAGGGGTTTAGAGGCTTAGAGGTTTAGGGCTTGGGTGTTTAAGTTTAGGGGTGAGGCTTTGCAGTTGAAGTGTCGCGACTTTTGGTTGTCCTCTGACCCGAAGACCTGGCCTTCTGTACGGCGCGGGTCTAGGGCCCAAGAATGCCGATGATAGGAGGAGAGCAGAGGGGTTGAAGAGAGAAGCCAGGAGAAGGGGAACAGAAAGGTATGTAACGGTTTATACATAAAGAGGGTGCTGTGATGGGGGTGAAGCCAGCGTTCCACTTATAGGGGATCCCCAAAAGATGGCTTCAGGAAAAAATCGACAAAATGCCATCTTAGAACCCGCAAGGGTGGCTCAACGGTTTCCTCCAAATTCCGTAGAATTACCGGTCCAATAGATGGCTTCTGAACATTCGACCCTAGAGAGAATCGACGAGGGATTGATTGGATAGGCCGCGAAACATAGATGGCACACGGCCGTGTGGCTCAGACCTCTCTCATGCATTCCAGCCCGAGTCTCTCTCTGTCGGGATGGAGCTGGGTGCTCAGACCATCTGTTGCGCCTGTGTGAGTTCCACGTTGCGAGAGATCCAGGGCCACAGAAAACAGCGGCGGCGTGCGGCCCAAGTTTGCCCAAGAGCAGGCATTTCCTGCAGCCCCAACAAACTACAGCTTGGCATGTTGGTTGGCCGAAGGCATAAAAACAAACTCCTATTACTCTTATCGACAAGCCCGCAAAATCTGAATCCCTTCGTGCAGCGGCCGCGATGTAGAGCAGATTGCTGCAGACGGCCCGGGCTCCCAGCTTGGGGCCGGTTTCTCTTCCGGCCATGTGTGCCATCTTTGTGATCTGATTTTCGCCATTCGGAGACTCCTGTAGGTGGCGACAGTAGTGCTGTGCAGGATCAAGCGACTGTTCTGATCTGTTTTTCGCGAGCCTGCAGTGCTTCGATTGAGGTTTGGCCGAGCGTCCTGGACATCGCGGCGCTGCCTTTCGTTCCGTCGGGGGCTCGGATCCTTGAAAAGACCTCCGCCGCTTCAGCAGTTGTAACTTTGTGGTTTAGGGCTCGCGTCATGTGCCATCTTTATCGCCTGCCTAGGCTGGGACCGGCTCTTGCAGCCTGGCGCCCGGAGTGCGATTTGGGCCATGTGATCTGGGCTTTGGTCTGGAGTTTTGGGGTCGTGCCAGGGCTTTTGGTTCGGAGCTGCAACACCTAAGGGTGCTGTGAGGGGTTTAGGGGGCTTCGGGGGTGTGTTAATTCCGGGCAGTGCTTCTCGCTTATATAGGCACTAGTGTCACCGCCTATATAAGCGAGAAGCACCGCCCGGAACCATCACACCTCCGAAGCCCCCTAAACCCCTCACAGCACCCTTAGGTGTTGCAGCTCCGAACCCAAAGCCCTGGCACGACCCCAAAACTCAAGACCAAAGCCCCAGATCACAGGGCCCAAATCGCACTCCGGGCGCCAGGCTGCAAGAGCCGGTCCCAGCCTAGGCAGGCGACAAAGATGGCACATGATGCGAGCCCTAAACCGCAAAGTCACAACTGCTGAAGCGGCAAAGGTCTTTTCAGCAAGAGCCGACATATATAATCCAAGGATCCGAGCCCCCGACGGAACGAAAAGCAGCGCCGCGATGTCCAAGACGCTC